AGAGATGGATCCCAGCAATACAACAAAGGAATTCATCGGTGATGGGTATGACCAATGTACAGTTGTGGTTACCAAACTGTGATTTATCACATGCCCTGACCCACTGGGAGTTTGAAGGGTAGTGCAGCCTAGGGTCGTTTGACTCTGTATGCATGCAAGCAACAGGTCACTTTGCCTATCTATGGTTGATTCCCAGCTCTCAATCATCTTTTGGCTGTTTGGTTTTTGCATCATACTGTAGCCTGTTTCTACAAAATAGGTTAGGCTGCTGCAGGGCGTTAGCGATGTCAGTCTTCGCCAGTGTTACATAATGAAAGTTATTAATTCTTGTTCACATACAGGATGTAACTGTACTTCAAAAGATCTGTGTCTGTACTTTCTAAAATGTTGTCAGAATAACAGTTTCAGCCAATTGTGGTAAAAAATAAATAAATAAAAAACAGCTTTCATATTTTGATTTGGCTAATTTCTTCTGAAAGATGATGATGATGCAGCCATTATGGCCTTTCTCCCTGCTTCTGACAGGAAAAACCATAGACTGTATATAGAATGGACAGCGTCTGCCTCCTTGCTGGGTGAAGCCACTACAAGAACAGCACCCTCTGTTGATGGGCTGCAGTATAGGTCATTAATCCCGCCTCCGCCAGCAAAGTTTATGGATCTGTGGACAAACTTTAGAAACTTATTACACAGAACATACATTTTTCTCCCCCCTGCTTGTGATGTTGACATGTAGTTATTGTAAGACTGGTTTGTGCTCAAGTCCTCTTTTTTTCTGTGAAGCTCCATTTTTAGATGTTATTAAGGGGGTCGTGTTTTCTATGATTGACACCCGATACAGCCTATGGGCGTTCAGGGATTGTGTTGCTCTCCCGGGGGATATGCTGTTTGAGCTGAGTGTCATCACAGTGACTCTTGATGACTGCGCGGCCCAATGCGCGCATCGCTGGTTTCAGGAAATGAAGAAAAATCCCGGAAATATCGAGAGCTATTTGGCTTCAAATCCGTATACAGGCGGTAGGCGCCAGGAACCAAGTTGTCCATAGTATGTACAGTCTATGGGAAAAACTTGCTGAAGCACTTCCTAAATTCCTGTTTGTAATTCTTCCGAAATGAGTGTGTATCTGTGTAATGTCGACAACCCTCCTGGCTGAGTCTGTTGGTGTGTATCACGTTGTTTCTGGATCATTGTATCATATCTAACTGTAAAATTGAGCCTCCTCTCTGACATTTAAGCTCCGGAAAATGTGTTTTGAAGTTTTTTTGAAAACGTTAATGTGAGATAGTCAAGCTCTGGGGTGTCAATAAAAAGCGGAAATCCACAGGATCTGCTGTATTCGAATCGCTGTCAGACAGGAAAGTGTGCACTGGAACAGAGAAAGAGACTGCTGTCATGAAATATTTATTCTGCATGCAGGATCTGGCCTCTCCATATTCTTCTTCTGTCTGCTGCTTTCTTCTCTTTGTGCCAACATGCAACAGGATGGCGATGTTCTTTTGTCATAGTCTCTGGGTAACTAATTATGTATCTCACACACACACACACACACACACACACACACACACACACACACACACACACACACACACACACACACACACACACACACACACACACACACACACACACACACAAATACACTAATAATTGAAGACATGTAGCACTCTGTTGTTGTAACCATATACATTTCAGGTCTGTTTGAGATGCAGTAAAGCAAAACTCTTTTTGTTAAATTATAAGAATTAAATACCTACTAAAAATCAGGGGTCCTGTCGGGACCAGCTGGGTGTAACTGTACACCCCACTCAGAGCTGAAGTCAAGTCCTGAGCCCCTGTGAGACTGACACCCCGTTCATGGTCACTTTAACTGACAAGAAGGAGCAGGTGTAGGTTTTATGGACTCGGATCAGTTGATCTAGTTAAGATGATTAAAAACAGAGATGTAACAGTCATCAAACCCCTAAAAGTCTATCTGAAAGCAAAGTCAATCAATTTTAAATGGATGTTGGTCCCAGTCATTTTCAGACACTGGTGATTAATTTTAGTCATATTTTAAAAAGAATTTAAGTACTTGCTTGTATTTATAATAACACATTTTGGCTTTCTATTACTACTAGCTTCTGCAACAATTTGTATAAGCTGTGTAATGCTCATGAACAAAGCATGAGCATAATACAAGCGTTTTTAAAGACATTAATTTTTCACTGAAACCCTCAGTAAGGGACTTTCAGATCCTCACAAAGTAAAATACTAACAAAGTAAATGTTTTCTATTTTGAACTTTAACTTCTTTACTTTGATACATTTTACCATGAACCAGCAGAAATTCCCATATCAGTACCAGGTGTCTGGCAGGACATATTCAAGGTGAAGTTGGGGTGAAAAACTCACACATTCAGCTCACCCACAGGGGAATTTCTGGACATTTTCAGGAACTTTGTGCATGTCTGAAAGAAGTGTGTTAGGTATTCCCACCTTAGGTGGGACTCCGTTCTCCCCATGGAAAGCAATGACTTTGTGGCTGCATTTGTAGAGTCAGACTCAGCACACTCCAAGCACCCACAGTCACACTTTGATGGACTGAATGAGTGTGCAAGCTCTACAGACAGTAAATGACAACAGACAGAACAGCAATGAAGCCCCTATATGATCCCGGCAGTCGGGTTTCAAAAATCTGGCAAAAATTCTGAAATCTGAACATGAAAATCTGGTAAAGCAGCTGATAATTTTCATGATTTTGAAATAAAATATTCATCCCTGACATATGAGTGCAGTGATGTGTTGGTTGGTGTTTTGGTAGCATAAGTTGAAGAAATTTGGACTCAGCCAAGTAGATCTGAAGTGAGTGCACTTGTTCCTTCTGCTGATTATGTAAGAGTGCAGACACACGAGTTGAGCGGAAACATGTTCTCATTTTACTTTAGTCTGATAAGTAGACTGGAGACATGAAGTGTATCCAAGTGGAAAGCAGATAGTTATGCTGACAGTAAGCTCTGTAAAGCTTGTGCTCCTGCTCTTCTTTTCTCTCTTACACATATTTGCAGATGATGGTAAGCTTTTTTAAAGCTCCAGGAAAACTTCGGAGAGCATCAGTAACTTACAGGGTTACACCCATGATGCTGCCCGCTGGTATATGGGCAGCCAGTGTTTCAAATGTAGTTGGACTTGATCTTAAAGTATGCAAAGTAAAAAATAAACTCATATGGAAATGAAACTTGTGATGTCTATTCTTTGAAAAAAGTTGCCATAAAATACAAGGATATGCGTTTGAAATGAAAATGTGTCACCTTGTCACATATTTTTACATTCATTCTGCAGACTGAAATGCTGTTATTCAGTTTAAGATGACATAATTGAAAGATTTGCGGCCCATTGTGTGAAATGTCTTCTTCATTTAACTGTCAGGCAGAGAATAAGAATTTAACCCTGAGTTTAACCCTGAACTGTCACTTTTGTTAAGTGGTTGTCAAAGTCGTCCAATTGGTGCTCCCGTGCATTGTCCCCTCAGCTCATTCAAACATTTGAATCTGTTTAATTTGACAATTTTATTCCTTTACAAATGTGTTACCACAATAACATGTCTGCAGGGAAAACTGAATGGTTGTTCAATGACATTGTATTTTTATGCTGTTTTGGTTGGTTAGGTGAAGATGTACTGCCAAAAATCCAGTTCCTGGACCAAATGTGATTTAGTGTTAACAAAGCAGACATGGTCAGCAGCTTCTTTTGTGCCAAGTCAATTACAGATCTTATGAAAAATAAAGTTATTGCCTGTGAGGGATCCATTAGAGCATCTTATCTCTCTACCAAGATGAAAACTACCTAGAACAATTGGCTCCTGATGCTGCAGTCCTATTATCTTAACAGTAGATGTCAACAACAGAAAATGAGATCAGACATCATGATGGAAGATAATTACAGTCATTTCTGTCATTCGATAAATAAAACAGTTCCCTCAGACACGATGAGTTAACTAAAGCTGTTTGATTGTAGTAAAGTGAGTGTAGGACATACCGACATACACCTCTAAGTCAGTTTCGAACCTTCATTTAAGTTTATCTCTTGTTCCTTTGAGATAGTGACAGGAATTTTGACACAAATAAAATAAAATATAAAGTCAGTGAGGAATTTAGAAAGCTTTGGGTTTTATTTCAGCTCAGAGGAACTAAAAATTTTAACAGTGTGGACAAAAAATGTTTGATAAAAAAAAAAAAAATCATAAAAATAACCTCCATGCACATCAAGAATACTGTAATTTTTTTCAGTCTAACCTTCCTCCTGTGTTAGCTTTCGAAACACACCCACCATGTTGATGTGTCGGTTTCCACCCGTGTCTCAAATCAGCTGCAAATTTCACTCAAAACATTTCTCTGTCATCCAATTATCGTGGTCCTCTGGGCCTTTCTTTGTCAGTATACCCCATCACATCTTTACTAAATACTGAAAGAAAAATTGTATGTGTATGCTATCACGTGTATTTAATCATGATATAAGTATGTTAATCATCATTTACTGAAACTCACTTGGTGTGAATGCTTGCAGGGTCATATCTGTTTCTTTTAAATGAGCATGGGAAGGAGATGTATGACCTTGGAGTTGAGACTGATACTTTTCTGCTGAAGCCATGCAAAGAGAGGGTCAGCGTCATATGGCACCCAGCCATTTCTCTCTCCTGGGACCAACTTTTTAACCCATTTTAACTGGTTTTACACACCTTTAAGACTGCATTTTAAGTTTGCTGGCTTGTAAGTTGAACTTTTACTGTGTCTGGGTTTTTATTTTATTTTACTTATTTTATTTTATCTGTCGTAGCAGAGAAAAAGAGTGCAATTCCCAAAAGCTGTCATTTTTATTCGGTTTAAAAATTTTCTGATCACTTTTAACATTTTGTTCCTTGAGCAAAGGATTATTATTAAATTTTTGCTTTTACCGGACAAAAGTTCTTAGACATCAGACTCTGGGATTTTATGCACTCTTGCTCAGTCAGCTACATGGCAGCCATGGAGGCTACCGCTGTAGACCGTCGTCTGGGAGCCTTTCTCCTACACCTGTCAGCGGCCCTCCAGCTCTACTCCCAACAAAGGGACCCCTGGTCGGATGTAGTGGTCCGCAGTTGTAAGAAGGCTCCTGCCAGGGCTCCGTGTGGGGTTTCCTCCTCTGTTGGCATCCCCCTCTCCAACAAATATTCAGCTCTGTCCATGACTGTGGAGCCACTGGACCAGGGCCCTGCTGATCCCAAGGTCTCCCCGAGGGATGCTGCGCCCTCACTGACAGACACCACAGCCTTCCCTCCACTCATGGCTGCCTGTGCCCCACCGGGCCATCCAGCGTCGGGCCATCCAGCGTCGGGCCGTCCAGCACCATGCTGCTCGCCTCCGTCCCCCCGTCCCTCAGCCCAGCGGAGGCGGCTCCTCAAGGACGTGGTGCGGTGCCACACTCGACGTCCTCATCCCCGGGTGCCTGACGGGGAGGGCGGCTCGGATGGTTTTCATCTTAATAGAGCTGGCACCCGCGTGCTGGCTGCCAACCTGGCATACAGTCTACAACACACTCAACTCTCACTTTCCTCCCATCACCCCAAACGTATACCAACTGACCTTTCCACCACTGATTGATGTCCCCCAGGTCCCAGTTCCTATGATTTTAGTTCCACCTATGTCACACACAATACTTGACTTGGACCCTCTGTTTTCATTAACCATTCACCCATTCCTGTCATAATCACTCAGCGAGAGACAACCAGACTCTCATCATGTACACTCTGTAAACTTCAATAACCTTAGAACTTTCCCCAAACATCAACAATCGAACCACACAGTCTGTAAATCACCCGTCAACATTAACATGGCACTTTTAAATTTTTCGCTCTCTTTTAAACAAATCTTTTATTGTCCACGACCTGATTTTAGACAACAACGTTGATTGTCTGTTTTTAACTGAAACGTGGCTGGGTACAGACGCGCCAGTTATTCTCACTGAGGCCTCCCCACTAAATTTTAACTTTACGTTCTCTTGTAGAAGTGGCAGGAAAGGTGGTGGTACTGCATCAATAATCAACAACTCACTAAGCACAAAAGAAATACAATTTGATCAGTACACCACCTTTGAATATCATGCGGTTGTTTTTAACAGTCCCTCAATTCTTTGTATAACTGTTTACGGACCACCAAAACATGAAGTTGCTTTTATCAGTGAATTTTCTGAATTTTTAGCAATAATCCATGCCACTTACAATGTTATTATTATATCTGGAAATTTTAATTTACACATAGACAATCCATCTGATTTAATGGCAAGAGTTTTTAAATCTACTTAGTTGCTTGGATTTTGGACAACATGTCACACAGCCGACTCACAACAGAGGACACACTTTGGATCTAGTCCTCAGCTATGGCCTGTCAGCCAGTGTGTCCTCTGTTGTTGATCTGGCTGTGTCGGACCATTATTGTGTGTTTTTTAATATCACCAGTTTTATTCAGTGGGAGACCTGAGTGCGAATTGTCAGGAAACGCTATTTTACGTCAGGGGTGGCTGCAAATTTTATCGAGATCTTGAGCAAGCATCCCTCAGCTATCTTGAAGACTCCAAAATCAGGCAACTGGACTGTGTAGAGTTGAGAAGACGTTTCGTAGAAGAATGGGTCATATAAACCCATCTCCGGGTGTTCCCCCCTGAGGTTCGTTAACCTGAAAGGGTTGTTGACGACCCCTGTTATGTGACAACATGACTCAGGTCCCAGGTGTGAATGTTTGTGGAGTTTCCTGAGGAAAGAGATGAGAACTGCATTGTAAGTGCTGGAGAGATTGTGCCTGAGTCCACCTCCTCTGTTCAGAGAAGGTTTCTCCAGTCTGGTAAAGATGGCTTCTTTAACTCCTCTTTTAAATCATCTGTCTTCTTGAGCCAACACCTGTACATTACTGTCCTTGAAAGAGTGACCCGTGTCGTTTAAGTGAAGATGGACAGCTGAGTCCTGACCTGAGGAAGTGGCTCTCCTGTGTTGAGCCATGCGCTTGTGAAGCGGTTGTTTAGATTCCCCAATGTACAGGTCCGAGCATTCCTCGCTGCACTGGACAGCAAATACCACATTACTCTGTTTATGTATCAGTGTTTTGTCCTTGGGATGGACTAGCTTCTGCCTCAGTGTGTTGCCATGCTTGAAATGAACAGGAATATGGTGTTTGCCAAAGATCCTCTTGAGTTTTTCCGACAGGCCTGCAACGGAAGGGATTACAGTGCTCTTGCGTCTCTCCTCCCTTTCGTGTCCAATGTTATTTCTCTCTCTGTTCTTCACAAAGGCCCACTTAGGGTATCCACAGGTTGTCAGGGCATTTTTGATATGCGTCTGTTCCTTTTCCCTCCCGTCTTTCTTCGTGGGAATGTTCTCAGCCCGGTGGCCCGGTCAGAGTGTTCTGATAACACCCAGTCTTAGCTGCAGAGGATGGTGGGAATCAAAAAGTAAATATTGATCAGTGTGTGTGGGTTTCCTGTACACTTCAACATTGAGCCACCCGTCTGCCTCCAAGTGTACGGCACAGTCCAAAAAGGCCAACACATTGTCCTTGACATCTTCACGGGTGAACTTGATGTTGCTGTCCACTGTGTTGATATGGTCTGTAAGGGCCTCTGCTTCATGTGTTTTGATCTTAACCCAGGTGTCATCCACATATCTGAACCAGTGGCTAGGTGCTGCTCCTTTGAAGGAGGTTAGGGCCTTCCTCTGTACCTCTTCCATGTACAGGTTGGCCACTATTGGAGAAACCGGGGAGCCCATAGAGAATCCATGTTTCTGTCTGTAATGGCGCTCTCTGAACTGGAAATAGGTGGTGCTGAGGCAGATGTCCCATCTCTTGGTTGACTTAATGGTATCTGTGGCTTCATTACACAGACTACCACACTGGAGAATACATGGCTCTCTGTCTGTCCCTGTTGGTATATTATTTTCTTCCATATTCAAGCAGCTATGTATGCTGCATGCACACTGTCTTTACAGATCAAATGTGTAGCTCCTCTAACTGTAGGCTCAAAAGAATGACTAAATGTGTAGCTCCTCTCACTGTGCGCTCAAAAGAATGACTGAGGCAACATTTAAGAAAGCAGCAGCACTAAACAAGCAGCATGTGCTAACATGCCCTGACATGAAGGGACAGCCAATCAAATTGCCTGAGTTAAGTACTGCTGCTGACATGAATCAAGCATACTGGATAGTTTGAGTGCAATATTCACTGGCCTTTATGTTGTTGTTAAGTTTTCTCTGTACTTGATCATTGGTTGGTGGGGTACCCCCAGATAACAGTGAAATGATAATGTTAGGACTTGTAAGATCCTCAAAGAAAAAGATCATCACTGCATCCAAAGTAATCAACAAACAATGCTAAACCATTGGCCAAATTGCCAAATAAGAAAGAGGAATAAGAAAAAGGCAAAAATTGTGAAAATAGCCGATCTACAAGCTCACACGCCTCACAATACAAGGTGTTACAGGCTTGTAGATCTGCTATTTTCACAATATCTATATGTGGAACAGAGTCAAACAAATTGGGGGTTACCCAGTTCAAATATGATTGTTTTGGGGGGTCAAGTCCTGAAAAGGTTGAGAATCACAGTACTAGATGGCAGCCATCTTCAATATAGCGGTCAAAACAAAGTTGTATGATTAAAACGATGTCAGATTTGGAATCCTCACGCTTGACTTGTATGGAAAAGTGCCTTCATATATGATTCTAGGACATCCAGATCAAAAGTTAATTTCTAGATATGGCAACGTCCGCCATCTTGAATTTAGCTGTCTAGCAAAAAATGCCGGGATTTTTGTGGGGGACCTGGAGGCTAAATCTTTTCTAAAGAGTCCGTAGAGGTCAAATCAATCGTCAAAACATCCTTGCCAGAGGATGGTCACAGAATCTCACTTCGTGACCCGACTAAAATCATAAACCCTTTCACTAATATTTCTACATCATAAAAATGCATTTCTAAGCATCCATTTTATACATTAAAAAAACAAACAAACAATAAACATTAACAGGAACTTTAAAATCCTGCCAATAAAATACATTCTATGGAACACTTTCCAAAGCAAAGAAACAGTGATTGTGTGTGTGTGTGCGTGTGTGTGTGTGTGTGTGAGTAGCATACTAATTTCAGATGTCAGCTGAGAATGGTGTGATTAACACAACAAAGACTTTCCTGCTCAACTCATCTTACACATACACACACACACACACACACACACACACACACACACACACACACACACACACAGTAACCTCTACTTTCTCATTGAGAGTAGAGCTCAGCAGGGTTTCTGCCTCCTGACAGGTGAAGAGGTGTTTTGAGGGAGGCTGAAAAGCTTCCTAGTATGTAATGTGTCTGTGCTGCAATTTCTTATGTACTTCTAAGTGTGTGTGTGTGTGTGTGTGTGTGTGTGTGTGTGTCTCATGACATTTACTTAAGGATGAAAAAGTGGTCAGAAAGAAAGCTGTAGCAGTGACTGTGTGTTGCATATTTATCAGAGCATGTGTAAAAGGTGTGAACCTTTGAGTCTGAAATATAAACACAAAAGCTCAAACCATCACTTAGCTTTAACTGTAATGTTAATGCAATAGAGTTTTCAAGTTACTGTTTGACTAAATATGATCATAACTTATAAATATAGAGCTGATGCAATGCTTAAGATGATAATGTTATGACCAGAGGTCATATGTTTTCTGTTGTTTTTTTTTTCATCAGCACATTTTTTTTTTCGTGGTAAACTTCCTGCCTGTGGTAGGTGCTGTTCCTTTGTGTCTCTTTTGTTTTCCAGGAGAGGACTGTGACCTGATTGGACAGCAGCTGAAGAGGGGAGCTTTGAAAAGGATCCTATTGACCTCAGTGCTCACACTGTCCAAGGAGCACTCCAGCGTGCGAGAGTTTTCCGGGACCGCACAGACCCACTTACTTTTCCGGATGACCACCTTTATGAAAGGCTCATATGGCCTACATATCACACAAAAAAATGTAAACACGATAGGAATGAACAAATGAATGAATGCATCTTGGAAATGAATTAGACATGTTTGGTGCATGTTAAAAGCACATGTTGAACAGTGCTATTTCAGGGTGATAATGGCATCAAAGATTTTTTGCGCACTATATTTATGCATTGAGACTGTCTGCAATTTTCTGCCAGCATTCCTTCCGTGCTTTGCAGCGGCGATGGTGTTGCTTTTAAAGTTTATGATAGATTTGAAGCCTTCATACTTTTTCATGATCGTCTCCTGCTCCTCGTTTGTAAAGTACGCAGTCCTTTGCTCTCTGGCCTGCTCTGACGCTCCAGACAGGTCCATGTTCGCGATTGGTCAGATGCGGCAGGCTACGCCTTACATGCGTGCACGTGCTCATAGCAAAGCTGGATCCACTTACAAGGTTGATAACCAGCGTTGTAAGACCGTTTAGAGAGACCGCTGGCTACCGCGCTAAGTTGAACGAGGTAGCTCCAAGGCTACCTCACTGGGTCGAACTTGCGTCATAGAATAGGCCCCAGGTCTACATATGGTTACAGATTAAGAACTTTGTGAATTTTGATTTGTCTTTTAAGACACATACCTTTAGTTACATTAAGAGCAGTGTGGTAGGTAGG